AGGGATATTTTAAACTGGTTTTTAATTAATTTTAAAACATGAATAGGCCTATTGTATATATCTTTTAATTGATTTTAAATTTTGTAGATTTGTATTGATTGTTCTGTTTTTAATTGGCTGTAAGCCGCCCTGAGTCCATTGGGAGAAGGGCGGGATATAAATGCAATAAAACTTCAAACTTCAAACTTCAAACAATATCAATTCATAAATCAATAATATCAATTCATTAATCAATATCCTGTTTTTCATGCTCTTGTTAAGGTTTGATTTCCCATCAGTATTTGAACTATCTTTATCAGTTATGATTTTCTCAATATTAATTACATTTATATAGCTAAAAGTTTTATTCATATCAATCCTTCTCTTATCTTTATATTTCCCATATCAAAAAAAGAGAAAAAAAATGCCAACTTAGTTCTAAATCATATCTTTCATTATAAGGGTCATCCGTTCTTTTAATCTTAAACATATAATGCCCCCTCTAAAAGGTCAAATCTTCTGTTTTTTAAATTTGACGCCTTCCTTCCTTCCTTCCTTCCTTCCTTCCTTCCTTCCTTCCTTCATTCCTTCCTTCCTTTCGTAGCTTTGCAAACCAGTTCCTTTCTCCCTCCATTTCTCTTTTCATTCCCTGTCTCCTAAGTTGTGACATTTCCCCTAACAGCTCTTTAATCCATTTTTAAAAATCTTTCTTGCCATCAGATATATTTTACTCTAAGGGGTAAAAGGTCTTTTGCATTTTCATTGTTATAGCTAAGTCTTGCAGTATTTGGTTTGTATATAGTCATTTATATTTCCCTTCTTTTATCTCTTCCATCTCTAAATCCATTTCCTCTGTTTTGTCTTCTGATTTCTGGTTTATTTGTTCATATTTTGTAGTCATTATCTGGGAACTTTCTAGCTGTAGATTCAATTTGGAGATTTGCTTGTTTATATTGTCTAAATTGTTTTTAATCTCATTATGATTTCTTTTTCCGTCCTCTTTGCATTCAACAATTGTTTGGTGAATTAATTGTAGCATAGAATATATTTCTTTCTGAAAGGTGTTTGTTTTGTTTTCTTGAGGCATCATTCCTGGAGATCCTCTAGTATCACCAGTCTCAGTAAGAGTAGATCAAAGTTTCCTCTAGTTATCTGGTCTTTATATGTATCCTTTATAATCCAACAGATTCCAAAGTTTAGGTTCAGTCCTGAATATTTTATAGTGATCCTTTGTCTCAAGTATCCAAAAATTGTCAATCAGGCAAGGTTGTAATCCACAATGTTTTAAGTGTTCAAAATGTTCAACCTCTCTGAAAACAGCTTAAAAGTCTCTCCCAGACAGGTGTAGTCCAAGGTCATTTTTTTCTTTCTCTCCCACCACCTCTTGAAGTTAAAAGTCCAAGCTCAGTAGGTATTTATAATGCAAGAAGGTCAGGGTGATAAGTATGCCAAAATATTTTCCTTTATTGCCAGCTGTTCTCCAGAGCTAGGAATCACCAAGCAGCCAGGAAGCAAATTATAGTGCTATACGCAAATCCTCCACTAGATGTCATCCCAAGTCCATTTTCCATTCTTAAAACAAAGGATTGATTTCTTATATTTCATCTCAATGTTTTTTTTCAAAGAGAAATCTTAACAGTTATCTCAGTTCTCAAATTTATCAAAATTGTAGCTTTATGTTACTTCCACTTCAGTATTGTATGTTTCTGTCCCCCATAAAATTAAAACACCGCTTCCATTTACATTCGGAGGTTTTTAGCTTCTTGGGAGCCTTTCCCAGGAAATTCAGTTGTAAAATAGTAAAGAAAAGACCAATATTCTCACCCAGTTCCAAACATGCTGTTTACAATGTATTAATTGGTGCTTTTTTCTTCTTCGGTTGTTAGCAGCTAATGGCCGGCCACAGGAATGTAGTCACTCTTTCCCCTGCCGAGCTTTTTTGGGATCGAACAGAAAGACCACCGTCTCCATGATCAACAAGGCACCCCTCCTCTTCATCGCCTCTTCAGGGCAATTGTAGGCCCTTTTTAGGGCCTCCAGCTGGGTGAAATTGGGTGCCTTCCTGTGTACTGTCCCGCTGCAATGCAAACCGGAAGTCTACCCATCCTCCCTATAAAGTGACTCTGTTACATGTTATAAAATAAATAAAAATTATCCAACAATTTGCACAGATGTATTTTTTAATTGTGTTGTGAGTAGGATTTAAATTTTCTTCAATAATC